TTCTGTGACGCGTTTATAGTGCGGTCAAAAATTCGTGGTGCAACTTATTGTCAAATATCTCCTCAACTATGGAACATAAACTCTCCAATTTTTGCACAGTGACTTGTATCAATTTGTCTTAACAGATCTTTATTTTTGTAAACACCCGTTAGCTGTATTCTAGAAAATTCCTTTAAAAATACTAATAAAAATTCCCAGTGGGTGGTTTCTTCTGATTTTAAAAGGTTTACAGCTGGGACAATATCGCTTTTAAAAGCAAGTTTGGCATTTTTTTCTTATCGTGAGATTATCTTTATTGAACGCAATTTTTAAAGAACTTTTAGTGAAAAAAGTGTTCACTATAAAATTAATTTCTTGTAACTAGTTTTACTACTAAAAAGTGTCATTGGTGAGCTTTGACGTAGGCCATATGCGTATACTTAATGTGTGTGAGGAGCGGGAAATGCAGTGAACAATCCCATTTTCCGCGTGAAGGAGATTTGTAGCATTTATATAAATTTATGAAGAAAAGTTTTTTTTAATCTAGCCTCATTTGTTGTGGAAAAAATATGATTAAGTTGAGACAAATTGATACAAACTGCTGTGCAAAGTACGGATGACATTGATTTACGCGGTAAAAAGATATTTGGGGATAAATTGACACACGAATTTTTTACCGCAGTATAGTTTCGGTAAATGACGGGACAAATGAAGTGTTCTTTTATATCCTGTCAGTTACTGTGGAAAAGCCCTGCTAATACTCCATTGTATAATTATGTCCCAGTGTCTTTTCCTTTCTCTCAGTCTCTCAGATACCTTCTTTGCATCGCACCCCCCCCTCTCTCTCTCTCTCTCTCTCTCTTTCTCTCTCTCTCTCTCTCTCTCTCTCTCTCTCTCTCTCTCTCTCTCTCTCTCTCTCTCTCTCTCTCTCTCTCTCCACCAACTCCCTTGTATAATTACTGTAATTTCAAACGGGAAAGTAAATTTAGTCGAACCTGCCATAACGGCCACCTGTATAATACGGCCACCTGTACAAACAGCCACTTTCGGTCCCCCCCCCCCCCTCCCCCTTTGCGTTTTTTCTATATAATTTGGTCGCTTTTAAGGAAAGCGGGCTAACCCTGATTTCGGGGTTTCCAGAAATCTTGACCTGCACATAAAATGGGCATTGCCCTACCTATAGGAGAAGTTTGGTTAGTGTGTACGTTTGTTTATTATAGAGAAAACTCTCCTTGTCTTTTAAAGAAACTGAAAAAGGGTTCAAAAACTTTACCTTCGATTTTCTCGAAACAGCTTTTTTTAGGGATAGCCCCCTTGTGCTTAAAAGCGACCATTTAACCTATCCTACGTGACCCACAGCAAAATAATTAATTGACCTATCTGGGACATCTAGGCTTTGAAAAAAATGCATTTTCCCCAGACGCTGTGGACAAGCCGTCATAATTCATTCACCTGTCATTATTGTCAATCCCACCAATGGATGAAACAGTCATGTTGCTTGGGTTGCTCTTTATGCTTATCCAAGCTGACCAATGGGTATCATAACCTTTAAGCACTGCCCACAACTCAGTCCGTAAACCCAGTCCATGACAATGAAAGTCAACACAAACTCGCGACAGATGTGTCGCTCGTTTGCCGAGTGGTGGCGACCCATTTGTTTGTTTTACCTTCATCGTCTGACACATTTCGTTTTATTTTGACCATTCACGGAACCATAATACATTTTAAAAAGTGATAAAACTAACAATAAATGGTCACACAAAACCGACGGATTCATCTCCCCCCTTTCAAAAGAAAACAACAATAGCAACAACAACAGAACATTTTAATGAGTCCTACGTTAGTCTTAAGCCTGCGACTACCTCCAATTGGGACCTCAGAAGTAAATGGCTTGTTTTCTTCATTTTGATCAGTCCTGTGTATGACCTGTCTTATATGGTCACTTTTCTCCTCGGCAATGAGTGGCCGTCTTAAACAGGTAAGACTGACGTGTACCACAAGAGCAAATGTGAGGCATCGTGGTGAAATCAGGCGTTCGTCAAAATAATGAAAGTGAAAAAACTGGCATTTTTCTGCCAGTTTGTCAATTTTGATTGAATTTTTGTTTTTGGGCTCAACACCATTTTTGTCCAATTAAGAACCCATTTCTGGGTGGATTTTACTGAAAAAAGTTGATTAAAGGCACGAAAAGGTAATGTTTTCTGTTTCCATGGACTGTCAAGGTATGGAAATAACCAAACTTTTGCGGCCATTTTTCCGCTAATTCTACCTTTGAAACCAGGCGACCCCATTTTCTTAAATCTCAAATATCTTGACTTCTGTTCAAGACAGATGGGCATGTTTTGTCACCGATAGCAAGACAACTGAACAAGCTTTAAGATGATATCAATAACTCCACATGCCCAAAAATTAACGAGTGCCTGATTCCACCACTTCGTGACACAAATAGATTATTCGTTTTAATCTTTTTCAAAACCATTAATAGTTTTTTCCTATTAGGGAATCGAACTTGACTCTCCTGCTTGTGACAGCTAAGCACTAAAGGGGGGGGGGGGGGTAATAAACCTATCTCGGTAACTATTGCTTTTTTAGATAAAGCCTTATAAGCAAGGAAAATATCTCTAAAATGTAACTAATTTTTTAAAAGTCTACGGTTACCATGGTAACAGCGGCCATATCGAAAATAAACAGCTTTCATTAAAGTAAAAATGATTTTTTATTTACTTTCAAATTTGGTACATTGACAGATAATATGTTATGCGGTTGGGATCTTGAAAATCTTGAAAAGGAAAAAAAGTTAGAGATGGAAAACTGACCTACCCCTTCATGCCTCTAAATTCGATTACTTTACCAAGTATCTATAAAAATAATCATCCATGTAACTCACTTATGAACGCATCGATTTGCTTTTCAACCTGTATGGAGTTAGGATATGGTGTGGATAACAAGCCCTGAAAATGTCTTTGGAATCAGATAGAAAATAAAAACGAAGATGAGGAAAAACTATCAAAAATTGAAGTTTTGAGAAAAGAAAACACATTTTGTAACATAATAGGCAAAAAAAAAAAAGTTCAAGGACAGAAAATCTGAACGATGTTGATTGTATCACAAAGAGTAAACAATGTTTTAGATTTACAAGTGGTTGACGTATTATAATACGTAAAAAGTCCAGGTACAATAAATTGACTCAAAATCGTCAACTTTAAATCCCCCCACCCCGTAACCACTACACCATTGACGCTGGTAAGTAACAAAGAGCACAATCATATTTTTTATGTGTAGCATCGTGTCATCATGGTGAAGTCAGATGCTTTTCAAAATAAGTGAACTGAAGAAATCAATTCACTATCCGTCAGGCAATTTGTATCGAGTTTTTGTTTGGCTCATTCCCTTTTGTGTCTATTTGAGAACACACGTAAAAGTCTGAATTGATGTTACTGAATATATTATGTAGAAGTCCGCCTGATACACACACACACACACACACACACACACACACACACACACACACACACACACACACACACACACACACACAAACACACACAAACACACACACACACACATTATATATATATATATATATATATATATATATATATATATATATATATTATATGTATATAATTATTAATATGTGTCTGTGGGGGGGAGGGGGCTGTTTAATTAAGCATTAGAGAAACACTAACATTAGTCAAGAATGGCATAACCATGCAACAGGCGAAACAACAAACAAGAGATAGACGTTTGTTTCTATCCTCGACGACACCGTGAAGCAACAAAGACCGGAAAAGGTAGAGCAAGTAAGATTAAGTAGGAAAAAATAGGCCAACGCCTTGTCTTTTGAGTAGATGTTGTTTTAACAGAGTAGGCGTGTGAAATTTGTCAGACAAGACTAAGTGGTTTGTCATTTTTGGGTGGTATAAGTAGCTAGCTGCGCCGTTACTAGCATGAACAGTGACAGATCGTTCATTGATGTCTAGATTAGGGTAAGAACGTCATCATCCTCATCGTCATCATCATCATCATCAATGATTGTAACATTATGTATTAACATTAACAATAGTAGCAACAACAGTCGTTAAATAAAAGATAGCAGTAGAAAGTCGTTTCTGCCTCCCCTTAAAAAAATCTTTATCTGCTTCTTTCTGTCTATCTGTCTGTCTGTCTGTCTGCCTGTCTGTCTGCTTATCTATCTATCTATCTATCTATCTATCTATCTATCTATCTATCTATCTATCTATCTAGCTATCTGTCTATCTATCTATCTAGAATCTATCCCAGACCCCAGTGCTACCAATCAGACCAACCGTTCCCTCTGTCCTCACCTATGTTGTAAAGAAATAGTATAATAGTTGCCAGTGGCCATAGTAGTGTTTAAGTTTGCATGTACCTTCGTATTTAGGTATTTATGTGCCGTATTTATATATGTATAACAGGGAGGTCAAACTATTGTAAATCACGTTTCACCACGGGAAGCAATAAAAATTGGTAAACAATTGTAGATATTTTGAATAAAAGTGATGATTAGAAATGAGAAAGAATATTTCAGCCTATTAATCTGTTTCTTACATTGTTTTAAAACAAACCAAACCAACAACAACAAAACAGAACAACAAAAACAACCCCCATAAAAAAACCAACAACACAAAAATCACCAGCTCGGACTTCTTAATAACTGTCAAATATTATTATGGCACCAAGATGTATAGGCCTACTTTGTCATAAGCACTTGTAGACGACCCTGAAATACATTTCATAAGGCTCCACTGATTCATTTTCAATACGAATAAAAGAAAAGGCTCCATTTCTAAATATCCCATTTGGACATACAGACCTAATCTTGTTATGCAGCGGCGTAATTTACCAGAAAAACGCAAAAAAATACACGCGTGTGTCTATTGTCAATTCTAGTCACTCAGTGTAAATGGCGCACCGACCGTTTTAGCAGTTTCTCTTTCTTCTTTCCCTTGTTTAAATGTCAACATAGATGTGCACACAGTGGGAACCCTCTCTCTCCAAACATACTCGTTCCCGTTCAGACCCCTGCGCCGCATTCAAATGTAAGGATGAACCCCCCCTCCCCCACTTCCTTTTTTACGTTTAGTTTTTTTTTCTACATGTAGATCTACTTTGTGCAAAAGGAAAGGGGAGACTGATTGACGAACTTGCGGAGTGGAAAGCTGCCAAGAGTCCGCGAATAGAGCAGGAGAATTCTCCATTTGGTAAACACAAGTTGATGATCGTTTCTAGTCAGTGGACCTTATTTTACCGAATTTTGGTAAGTAACCTTTTCCCTTTTCTTCTAGTATGATGAGAGCTTATCAACGCCTCTTTAAACAGCATAACAATATAATAGTTGTATAAATTGTTGAACGTTTCTAATTTAACGTCTGTTTCCGATTGTACCAAGCCAACTATCATGTGGATGACCTTTTAAACTCACCTAACCATTCAGCTCGAGAGCATCTCGTTTGGGATTCGAACAAGGGACATCAAAACCGTAGTCTAGCATGGTACGATGTGAGCTTACAAAGCGATTCTGTATGTTATTATGTAGCCTATGAACAACAGACGGTTAGTGTAATAGGGGGCTCTCGTTGCCTAGAGGTTAAGGTGTTGGCCTCGCATTCAAAGGTCCCGGGTTCGAATCCGGGTAGCGACCTAAAAACTTTCTTCTCTAAAATTGTCTCCCTTCACCTCCTTTCCTGCTCTATAGCAATATTCTGTTGTCAGCTTTCGTCTCCTCTTTCTGCCCCAACCCCCTCACCTCCTTCACCCCCTCCTCTGGGCTCCTGACTCTTTCTGCAGCCTTTCTACTGCTACTCCTTGGCTTCTTCTTACAGCTGTCTTTCAACCACACCCCTGATCTTCTGGTAGGAAAGATCTACACCTAGCTTTCTTGGACAAGGGCGAAAAATCTCGGAAGGCCCGTGTGCAAGTTGCGCATGTTAAAGATCCCTTGGTGGTCTAAAATCGATAAGAGTAGGCTTAGGCCGCCACCCGCTCAAAATTCAAAATGTCCTACGAACTGAAAAAGTTTAATGTGTCCCGCGCGCTCATATGACCGTATGAAGTTGCGAGCGCCGTAAAACACTTACCAATATTTTTTTTTTATGTTAGTGTAATAATAGTCATAGATCTTATTGCAGTGAAAGATTGCATGCACACCATTGTGGGACCAAGTCGGGGCAGCTGAAAAAAAAAATGTTTTTTGTTCCTTTTTTTGTTTGGAAGATGCTGTGCCGCATACGTTCCGCAGGCTGTTGAAAATATGAAAATGTTTTATCCTGTCTATTGCGTGTCGTAATGGATTGAAGTTGAGATAATGTGTTCCGTGTTTCAACGGACAATGAACGATAGTTTTAGTATTGCTGGAAATATAATTCGGGCAGGAAAAGAGCGGCATCCTGCTATTGATGAAAAAGCAATTATTTCTCACGAAAAGAAAAAAAACCCCAAAAAAAACTATACGATATTTCCTAGCTAGTACAGCACAATTACAGCTACCAGTAAAGGTAACTGCTTCAGGAGAAGTTAGTTGATCAGGAACGGTAACTATTACAGCAATAATAATTGTGGCCACAACACCAGTGGTAACTGTTATGAGCTGTGACCTTTTCAAGAGAAGCAAGACGTGCTACAGAGAAGTAGCAACTGTTTCAGGACTGGAAAATATTACATGAGTTTTAATTATTGAAAATAAAATATCAACTATTACAGAACTGGTAACTATAACATGAATTCTAACTATACAAAGTAGCAACTATTACAATATTACATGACTGGTAACTATTACATGAGTTCTAACTATAAAAGTAACAACTATTACAGTACTGGTAACTATTACATGAGTTCGAACTATACAAAGTAGCAACTATAATATTGCAATAAGAGTGGTAACTAACTCAGGAGTAATAGCGCCTAATGGTGCCAACAGTTATAACTATTTCATGGGTTGTACCTATTGTAGTAGGGACGTCTATTACAGAGGTAATAAACAATAATAATAATAATAATAATAATAATAATAATAATAAGGAGAAGAAGAAGAAACACATTATGTGGTCTTTACGGCAGAATGCTCGAACCTGATGTCACTTCAGCAACAAGGAAGCTACACTCTTTTAATGTCAGTAAAATACTAGGTTTATAGGACATCAACTTGAACATCGCGGATTTTTTCATGTAATATTTTTCTAAGCGTAAAAGGGGGTGGTCGTTTGCACATTTGTTTGTGTTGGAAAAGTGACCATTAGAATTAGACCGAGCTGTAAAAGATATTAGTAATATCAATAATAACAATAATAACAATAATAATAGTTATTTATGTTGATGATGATGATGATGATGATGAA